CTAAGTAAAACTCAATAACATCTCATCTAAAGCCTGATAGAAGCATGAAAAATCACATGTGATTAAATCTAACTTTATTGCAATCCATGAACTTTTTGTTCAAATGTTATAGATGCAAAAAATTATTTGTAGATACAATATGAACCTTGAACTATGTCGTTCAAATGAAATTCATACCTACACCATAATATTTTTGTGAACTGAAATATATACTTGAGGAAGAGTTCAAATTTGAATTTGAAATTGAAATTGAGTACGGACTAATATACAACTTAATCTTTCAATAGAAAATTGCCTCTACTCCCAAATGTGAAGCAAGCTCAATCAACCTAATATAGTTGATGAACCAACTAATCAAGCTGATAACAAAAATTATGATGAATAATTTTCTAATATAATTCATGTATCAAATGATTGAACTGAAATTGATTGCTTTAATTATTGGTTCCATAATACAAATTCATAAAATGAATCTTATTTGGGGGGGTGTGTGGTTTAACTTTTGTGAATATTTCAAGAAATATATTAATGATGAATGCTAAAAAAAACAATTTAAAACTCAATCTTACTAGTCATTTCTAAAGATGTCTAACTCATCACAACTCATACTTAAACAGCTTAAGTAAAATTTATTTTGATATATAATTTGTCTAAATAGGTATATCATAATTACCTGGATTGTACATCTTTCAACTTTCATTTCAACTCTTTCTTTATAAATTATTTGTAGGCCTTCATTAGCATCCTCTAGTATTTGTTTCATATCATATTCATAATTTATATTATTTGCATGAAGGTATTCGCATGAAATGGATTCTTAATTGCATCAAAATTCAAAAACTTCAGACATTAGTCCAATCTTTAATGAATCTAATTTGATTTTATATATCATGAACTGCAATTAATGTCTTCAACTCCTCCCTTGTCCTCATGAACTTGCACCCAATAATATGCTAAACAATTAAACATATCTTGTTCTTGAAGATATATTCAATGATGAAATTGTGTCAATAACAAATGGTAAATTCCATAAATATCTTTTACTTTGCTTTTCAGAACATTACCATACATCCATTTACTTATTGCTTTCTTACTGTTTTTCAAAAATTTTGATAGTGGGTAGCTACTGTGGAGAATATATCTACTATAGTGTGGTAACTATAAGAAAAACTATTGTCCGATTTTTCTCTATATATATACAGAGAGAGAGAGAGAGAGAGATTCAACAAAAGGACCCTAAATTGCAAAAGCATATCTTTCACATCCTGATAAGCATGATTGATATCATAAGATAAACTTGTCAAAGTCAAATCTACCTGAGTTGGGTATATTTGATGGAAACCAACTAACCTATATTCATCAAAAATATCAAGCAAATCAGTAAAATGATCACCACTTTTATTTTATTTTGTAATTTCTAAGTTCATGGTTATGAATGTATTTCACCTTCAATTATTTAGACATGTCTATGATGATAGGCCCTATGTGGCCCAAATGTATTCTTTATTAATCAAATTCCTTGGTTTGGTTTGATTTCAGTTGGTTGGTTTAATTATTGGTTTGAGTATTTGATATATTGTCTGTTTTATGGCAACAAGAAACTTAATTAATGGTAATAGAAGCCTTCAAGTTAAGGGTTCATAGTTAATTAGTATTGCTTACTACTAAACATATTTGAATTACATGATTCTTCACTCTCTTACCACTAGCTCTTAAATGAGGATTCGCCCATGTTTATCAAGAGCAATTCTTCGGTCGATGATACTATCGTTTAGAAAATATGTTTATCCAAATCTGTTTTTCTTATCCTAATCCAATTGCTTTCGCGTGATTTCAGTAACATATCGCCGAATATGTAACAATATATTCAGGCTTATGTTCTCGCCATCTCCACAGGTTTCTATGGATGCTATAGATTGTCCATTATCCATGATGGATTACAAAAGTGTAATTGATTCACTGGTTTTAAATTTGAATAGCGCCCACCCCATGCATAGCAACATCCATCTACATAAAGGGGTAGATAGATGGTGAACTTGATTTTAAAAATGGGGAAAATCGAGACGCGTAATAAGACTTCTTGCTTGGTGAAAATATCACTCCATTTCAATCTTTTGTTAGTTGGGTTGGATACTAATCCCTTCGAGTGTGGTGCAACTAAGACTACCCAATTTGAAGGGAATTCAACTCCTCATACAAAAGTGATGCCTAAATTTGTTCTTTGTTGATGTACTACTTCGATCTTTTTTCTTCTTCACAATTAGCATGCATGTTCTTGATTTTGAAAAAAATATGTTACGACAGAGTTTTCAATTGTTGAAAATCAAGTTGTGGATTTTTGGTGTTTTACAATTATTCACTGATTTTCCTTGGCTTAATCAATCATTAAATTATTATTTAGAATGGATTTCTAGCATTTTCAAGTTCACATCAAATGAAAGCTAGTAGCTTTTTAAATTGGTTATCATTTAAATGTGATATTTCAATCCAAATTGTGTGTTTTCATAGATCAAATCACTGCATCTAGTTGAATCTGGATCTCTAAGCCCAAAGACTTCCTACATCATCCAAACATTGATCAAATGAAGAAAATGATCTCGTCTCAAGCAATACTTTAGGAGTTCAATCAAACCCTGATCTTGGTTCAGGTGGTTTCGAGGTTGGAAAATTGAAAACCTAAGAGACTTAGAAAATAAGGATTGTGACAAATCGTGCATGAAATTCATGTGTGCATATTGGTAACAAGTGCAATAAATACGTTAAACTTTAAAGTCACTTAAAAAATAAATAAACTGCTAGCACAAAATCACTCCCAAAAGGCAAAGGAACTAGGCTGAATAAGCTTCAAGCAATCTATAAGGATTTATGGAGTTACGAATTAAAGTTCCATTTGGGGTCGAGTAATTCAGGCGGCACGGCCACAAACCGCGAAGCTGAGAAAAAAATTTTCGTTTGGATGTTGCGTTCGTGTCTGCCCGCCGCTAAAATAGGCGAAACGCGGGCCGCGGGATCGACCCCACGGCGATCGGCTTTGACCTCTTTGCCCTGTGCTCCCTCGCGAAGCCCTCAAAGTCACCATGCCCCTCGAAGCCTACGCTCGCTTGACGCCGCCCCGCCAGCTACTCGATTCGAGGATGTGAGGTAGAAGACGAAGCTTACGACATAGAAAGGAACGCCTTATGGGAGAGAACCGGCGATCAAGCTAATTGGGAGGAAGATATCGCTGATGGAAAAAGGTGGCATAGTCGATTCGGAGGAGGAGAAGGTGAGGTTCGAAAGCTATGGGTTTCAGAGAAACCGGTAGAGGGGGAGGGACATGGGCGAGGGCTTCAGCCATAGAAAGGGAAGTGACGGGGGATGCAGGTGAGGGTTTTTTATTGTGATATTAATTTAACTTTATTTAAGTTAAATCTTATTAATTTAATTGATTATAAACCAATCACTAATTTATAGATTATCAGATTAATTATAATTAGATAAATTTAAATATATTTATTTAATAGTTAATTAATAAAAAGAATATATATATAACTTTTAATTATTTAATAGAAGAAGGTTTACATGCATATCAGTAAAAACTCCTGCTATTTTGTATTTAACACCTAAAAATATATAATATTACGACTATAGCACGCTAAAATTGTTGTTAAATGTGTATACTGCTTTGTCACTGTCCTCCACGATGTTCGCTCCATCCCTTGACGGAATGCTAGAAAAAACTTCTTAGGACTTCCTCTGGTTGAAATCTTCTAAAATATCAACTATGTGGTATTCACAGTTATGTTTTAAACGGCTTTACTAAACAGGGACAGAATGGTCATTTTTTCAGAAACAACTATCACACAACTGTTTTCACACAGCCGCAACAAACAGACAGTCAGCTTCCCTGCAGCAGCCTTATGTTACTGGGGCAGCGTAGCTACAGTTGTGAAGCTGCAACTGCGCCAAACAGACCCTAAGATTATATGTAAGAATTACTCCAAAACTCCTCCACAAGGAAATTCCTTTTATAGTTCAGGAATCCCCCCATAAATTTGATCTCAGCGATATCAAGATGAAAATAATAAAAATCCCTTTATTCAAAAGAAACTAACATAAGCAATCTCCAGATCTTACGTATTATGTATGTATGAGAATTATACGATGACATGATACATAATCAAGCAGATAAAGCACATAAGCACTCACAACAAATGACTGCTACGATACTCTAATTATGTCAATATACATAATCAACGGCGCCAACCATTAATTAAGAATTTGTTATTACAATATGTAGTCTCGATTGAAACTTAAGTTCAAAATTGGAAATTAAGCAGGTAAAACAAAAAAGCACCATGGCCTACGATAGCCTAGCTTATATCATTGAGAAAATTCTAAACTAAAAGCAGAATAACCTCCAAAATGCTACAATCAGTAGTCTTATCTTAGACTAAAGATCTCAATGAATTTGCTCTTAAACCTTTCACTGTCTAACATGCTCTCCGTGAAGCATCTATAAAATAAGAAGCTAATAAGGTAAGCCAAACATTTCTATTAAGTAACTAGAGTCTTGGAAATGGTCTGCCTAGTCTACTAAAAACAACACCCCAACAAATAGCTAGCATCATCAAAGTAACAGCTTTGTTTTAAAGTTATGAATTAAAAAAAAAAACACCTCGGCGTTGCTTAGATGATAAACCTCCCGCAGTTGTTAAGGTATTCATTCGATGGAAGCTCACATCCACGGTAAGCAAGAAACGTGTTTCTAATGGCAAAGAAACGCAGCAAGCAAACCAATCGCACAAATAAAAAGGATGCAGCTAACAGGGGTAGCCTTGCCAAAAAACACGCCTAGTCAATAGCATTTATACATCAAAACCAATTTTATCCCTTCATAAAAAAAAAAGGGGGAATCGCAGAGGAACAGCTAGCGGTGAAGATATTGAGCAAGAGAAGAAAACCTAGGCCAGCAAGAACTAATCCTTGAAACCAAGAGTCAAACAGACATGAGAGCTTACTATTCTGGATTCATAGCGGAGAATCCTGTAACCTCACAACCTCGACAAAAGCCCTAGGGAATCGCCTCGAAGAGAGGAGGGAGGAGATTGAGAAAGCAGAACTGGTAAGAGTTTATTTAAAGGGGAGTGGATGCCTCGTCACCGAACATCTAACCCACGACCGCTCGGCATTAATACCAAACTAATTTTACATATTTGTCCCGCTGATTTTGCACGTGGACATCCTGATATGAAAAAAGGCGCAGTTACAGTATACAATCTCACATTGTAAATTTTCAAATTTATATACATAACATTTAAATAATATTTAAATTATTAGTTTTACTTTAAAAATAAAATTATTATCCATTTTAAAAATAAGGGTCTTTTTGAGGCAGATGTAGCTTAAGTTGTTGATATGTAACTGATATGGATAAGCTGATTGGCTATTTATTTTGTGTGTTTGGAAAATAGTTGATTTGCAGTTGTTTTTATGTTTCTGAATAAATGATAATTTGCTCATGTGCATACATAATATTGTTATGTATAGAATAAGAAATAATTATAAAACGTGCATCACATAAATGAGCAATCGAGCACCTAACACCTTATATAAAGCACATAACAATGCCCAACATTTATTTACTAATGATCATCACAAAATAAAGCCAAACATAATTATTTCTATGATTTCGGAAAAAAATAATCAAAATAGAGAAAAAAATCAAAGCCCACAAAAAACATCTTATCAATTTACTACATTCTACATTTAAGAATATGAAAATAAAAATAAATAAATAAATAAATAAAATCATGATCATACTATTCAACATCAATACTTACAAATGTTGCTTGGCCTATTGAATTTTGGTTATATACTACTTCAAACTCTCTAAAATAAGAAAATATTTAGAGATATTACATTAAAGACATTATAACTTTGCGTCACCATCCTGGAAATATGAACTTCCTGAATAAACAGGATTAGCTAAAGAATACCATTATAGATTATGCTTGCAATTTGCAATTAATGAAAGCACCAAACAGTATATATTGTGTAAATTAAAAAAAAAGGTATTATCTCTTCTTTGGCTAATAGTAGGTGTGATGGAGATATAATGATGTTCCTTAAGTGCAGGAAGGTCTGATTCTACATAATCAAAATTACCTTTTACGTTTGATACTGTGCGTGAAATGGGTGGGAGGAAGGGAGAGAAAGACGAGAGTTAGACGGCTAGAAGTGGAGTGAAAAGGGAAGATATAAGGGAGTTTTTGATATCATTGGAAGCCTCAATCCTGCAGTTGTCTTCTCAGCTAGCTCCAATTGATGTTGTACTTCAAGGGTTTCGGACTCAAAAGGAAGACGAAGGGGAAGGTAGTCAATGGTTTCATGGAACTCAGGTAGGCAAGAGATATGAAGCGAGGGAGGAGACGGGTAGCTTCGAAGGGCACGAAAGGAATAACCCGTCGATACGCGACTTCAAGATGCGGGCAGTGGGATCGATCCCGCGGCACCCTCTGTTAAGGAATCGAAAATGTTATTTCTAAATAAGCTTCTCGAACGCACGAGCCAAAAGGTGCGGTGTCGCTAGGGTTTCGGACTTGAAAGGAGGATGAAGGGGAAGGTAGTCGATGGTTTCATGGAACTCAGGTAGGCGAGAGAGATGAAGCGAGGGAGGAGAAGGGCAACTTCGAAGGGCACGAAAGGAATAACCCGTCGAGACACGACTTCAAGATGCGGGCAGTGAGATCGATCCTGCAACACCCTCTAATAAGGAATCAAAAATGTTATTTCTAAATAAGCTTCTCGAACGCACGAGCCAAAAGGTGCGGTGTCGTTTTTAAAATGTCATCCGCGCCTATAAGCTGCCCGACCCTAAAATGCAACCATTCATACATATATTTAAATTACTAAAATATTATGTATAAAAATATAAAAATTTGTTTGAGATATAAAAAACATAAGAATTGTGTGATAGATATGTAAATTTCTGATGTAAATATCATATAAATATTTATTTTCTTACCC